GTGGCCTATACTTCCAAAGAAACCCCTATGGTCATGTACCTCAACTTGCACATGGCCTTAGAACAAATGAGAGAAAAAGCAGATAAACCTGACAAACAAGACCTTGGACCAAGGGTAAAATTAATACATTCCAGGGCCATATCAACAAGTTTTATAAAGAACCACTTTTGGAATAATATTGCATGGTCTTTGATGACCTTTATAGTTCTCTATGTTTTTGAACAAGGAAGAAGTGGTTCTTGTCAGTGGTAAATGTTGGTCTGGTTGAAACCAGCTGACCAACCAGACCAGTGGCTATGGTCCTGCATTTGTATAAAAATCAAACTTTTAAAAAAAGTTGATCTCTTGTAACAATTTTTTTTCTGTACATCTTCCAGGTCATGGTTGTTGGGCCTACTGATGTTGGAAAATCAACTCTGTGTCATCTACTTCTAAATTATGCAGTAAGAATGGGTAGAAGACCTGTATATATTGACTTGGATGTAGGCCAGGTAATATTTTCTTGTGTATTACTGGATAAACTACATGTATACTTGTATTTATTATACCCGGTAATAATTATTATAAGTTCTGATATACTTAGCTTTGAAAAATTGTCATTGGAAATCAAAAGTTTTAAATTGTASCCAAAAAACGTTTATCTGTGATGTATGTTTAATATTGTAGCATTATTCTTGATAATGACTTTTGCGTTTTTAGGGCACTATTGGTGTTCCAGGATCAATGGGTGGGTACAAGTACTGTATAWTTTTATATCATTTACGTTTTTGCATTTATTTTTCCATTGCCAGAAAGCAATAAATGTGAAAGTTTTGATAATGACTTTCCAAAAAAAATTCTTCATTTCAATTCGCACTACATGTACGTTAGTCTCCTCCGGCCAGGGAACAAGACCTTTAATGGCGGCCAGAACAGACTACATGCACATGCTTTGTTTTGGATAAGAGTAAAAAATATGAACAAATTAATACTGATGACAGTAAATTCCTTACATGTAATTACAACCATTTTCAACACATCGATTATATTTAGTATGTGTGAAAATGTATGAAATATATAATGATTATGATTTTGTAAATCTCAGGAGCATTGTTAATAGAACGRCCAGCTGACATAGAAGAAGGTAATGACTGATAGTTTGATTTTTTTATGTTTAAAACTTGCTATTTAATGTACTTGTACATAGTTCTTGTAATCATTGCAAGCTATTTTCTCCTTATAGGTTTCTCATTACAAGCGCCTTTGGTCTATTGCTTTGGACATACCTCACCTTCAAATAATGAAAAGCTCTACAATAAGATCTCATCAACTCTTGCTGATGTAGTATTTCAAAGATTTGAAAAGAACAAAAAAGCTATGACAAGTGGATTTGTTATTAATACTTGTGGTTGGGTAACAGGACTTGGGTATAGAATACTTGTACATGCTGCTAAAGAACTTAAAGGTTTGTRTACACAGTAGAYATTGTTAGAAGGCAYACTATACACTGCATGTCACCGTTGGAAATATGCTGTTTAATAGGCATTGTGATTTGTGTTTGACGATTGTGTTATTTTGGGAATCAAATACTGTATTAGTACATAAAGCTGTATTTCTTCTTTGTTTTTGCAGTTAATGTTATTGTTGTGCTTGACCAAGAAAGGTTATACAATGATCTWAAAAAGCAATGCAGTGATGATGTTCAAATTGTTCACTTACCCAAATCTGGAGGGGTAAGCATTCAGCGTACTTTAATTGTAATTCATTAAAGAGTATAAATTAATTTTCTGAAAAGTGGGAACCAGCGGTAAACTAGTGTGTGCTGCGTCAGTGTTTCTAAAGAAACAGTTGTGTAAAAAGAAAACTTTTAAAACACCGTAAAAAAGTATGTGAAATAACTTACTGACGTTTTGGACGTTAATCCTTCGTCGGAGTAAAGGAGTTAAACAAAGTTATTTCACCTACTTTATTATGGTGTTAAATTTAGCTTTTTACACAATTTTCTAAATAAACAACTAGTTGGAAAATATTTTATAGGTTATAGGTTCCATTCCCCAAGTCAGGCCTGATTTTTAACTCACTGTACAATAATATGAACAAAGCTAGAATGTACATATGTCTACATACTGTAGGTTGTTGTCCGRAGCAAGGAAACAAGGCGCAATACAAGAGATGATCGTGTAAGAAGCTATTTTTATGGACATCAAGGGAACCTTTATCCTCATTCGTTTGAAGTGAARCTTGCTGATGTGAAAATCTTTAAGATTGGAGGTTTGAAATTTTGTTACTCTACAAATACTCAATTTCATGTTCTAGATTATCCTGTATTGCAGTTTAGACTYAAAACTGTTCTATATTTTCTTTTTTATCACTGCGTATGGAAACACATGGAATTTATGTATAGTTGAAAGACGTCAATAATTTAATTTGGTATCATTTTTTTTTTTACTCGGATATTTTGTGCACATTGAGGATCCAGATAGCACAGATGTTAAGTAATTGGTTGACTAGTTACTAAGTTGCAGATAACGTTCATAGTTAAGTTAATTTTTTTTTGTCTCAGCTCCCATAGTTCCTGATTCTTGTCTACCACTTGGAATGGAACAGAGTGATAACCAGACAAAACTTGTATCTGTTGTACCGAGTAAGTTTATAATTATCCTGCTTGAGAAAAGAAAATRCATTTCTCCTTCGATTAAGATCGTGCTTTTCCCCAACCTAACCCTAACGCACGAGAAATACGAACTCGAATATCTGCTTTATGCATGCTGTAGGAATTGATTTTGCGTCTTATTTAGAATTTACATGTAAGATCTAAATTGAGATTTTAATTCAAGATGTAAATTTGCAGGGTTATTTGTATAAACGGAAAGCAAACGATATACAACGTGCATGAGGCAGTTTTTTTTAGTTCGTAGATAAACAACTTTGGGTGCGTTTTCCATAACACCGTAAGTCCTGTCGAAGTCAGTAAAGAGTGATTGACACCCCGTTTATTCTATTTYAGGTCATGATCTGAAACACTGTGTTTTAGCAGTAAGCGCTGCTGAGTCCCTTGAAGAAGATCTTGTAACTACAAACGTAGTKGGATTTCTTGTTGTGTAAGTACAATGTGAAGCTAAGTCGTTGTATATTTTATGTAAACATATGAATGGGAATGAGCAAACTTCAAATAGCGGGATGACTACACTTCCCATCATGCTTTGTTCTGCACCGCTGCACATTCCAAAGTAGCTCACAGTATTATGTTTTGTCCTGACCAATAGGAACAACATTGATCTTGATCGGCAAGTCATGGTAGTTCTATCTCCAGCACCACGTCCACTTCCAAGGAAATTCTTAATACAAACTGAAGTTAGATTCATGGACTTCAAATAAACCAGTGCAYCACMAATGAAAAGGCACAAAAAAGCAATAAAGACACTGCTGTTTCAAACCAAGCTCAAACTGGACGATAATCGATGGTTAGAAAGAAGGCGTGYAACCTGAGAAAGAAGATCTGATTAGTCAGGTATTATAGTCAAATAGTCAAATAGACAAAGGAAAACAGTGGAGGTAGCGACGACTAAGGTATTATCAGTCYCACATTTGAAGCTCCCTTGCACTATTTTACTAGAATACTTCTTAATTTGGAAAAAGGAATAGTCCAAGAAAGCGAATCAGAAGTTTTGTTCCCCCCAGATGAAATTGCTTTCACCTCACATACAAGTGCTTTATTTCGTTTATTTTAGTTCATTCTATTATCATTATAAMACTCCTTGTTCAATTTGTATCACTATACTTTTTCTGCGGTATATTTTACTTTGCCTACATTTATTTTCTGCAACAAGAAAAAGAAAATCAAAAACAATAATACATTTTGGAAAAAYCAAGATGAATATGGAAAGATGGGTACACATGAAGTATAGACAGAAGAGTACAAAGACAGTTTGTTTTAGTTTATACAGCAAGTAGATTGGCAATATGAAACAATGAAAACTATCTTAAAGGAAGACTACTCTTGTCAATTTTTACCCATAGACTTAAGCATTTGCATATCCACGTTACGGCTTTGATTTACTATATGAAATTTAACATKTTACCTTTTTGAAAACTATTTATGACACCTTGATTCAAACTTGCAATAAAGTTACACTGAACACAAATAATAGTTGTGTATCATTAGCTATAAAATATTAAAAAAACATGGRAAAAAAGCATGGAGATAGAGCAGACCTTCAGCTTCTTTGGGGGAGAGGGAAGGGGCACGTGCACCCAGTGCAACGCCTTGGTTCTGGGACCTGTGAGGATACTAGTTCATTTCCTCAAAATAACGCATAATTTAGGTTTRAAAGTATTTCTAAGCAATATCTAACAGCTAGGACTGTATGGAAGCCCCTCYCTCCCCTTCCCTCCAATGCACGTTGTACAAATGCATTAGTAAGGATTTATAATAATGTTCGTTGTCAACAGCTCTTGTGTACTTGTTAGTGAGTGACATTGTACTGAACGAAGTGGAGAAATTCCAAGTGTATTTTTATCTTTCCGCCAAAAATCTTATTAGGTTCCTATTTTATACATCACTTGACCCGACACATTTACAGTTCATCATCTTGTACGAGGAGAATTTAAGTYACTTTGGGGGTGGAAAAACATTTTATAGTTTTTCTGTCAGTGACCAGTCAGGGATCATGGGAAACAACATCCGGTTTCTGTCATCAATGTCAACGCGATCCTCACTTTGGCTGCTGCTGTAGTYTCRTCACCATGAAGTKGTWTGGTTTCATTGTATTCCTTCTATTTGCTGTTTGTTCCTGGTGTTGTTCTCTTCCACCAGGCGTTCCTGATTACTCTATTACCGACAGAGCGGTTCTTGCACCAGTTGTTGTCCATGGTCTCGTCTTAAACATCTCGACCACAACACGCATAAACGTCTACTATAAGGCATGTGTACAAGTCTTGGAGGTCATCAAAGGCGATCCTAACCTTCCTAGGGAATTATGTTTTGGCGACTTTGGTGGAGACTACCTTTGCTTAAGTGATGTATACGAAAATAACACGTATATCTTCTTTATGAATGCTGATTTAAGTGCAAGGTACGATGGCATACCTGTATCAGCTTTCTTGGCAAATGGCCGGACTGTRGATTTGGCAAGACAAGGATACTGCAATCCACTAAAACCGAACCCCTTTCGAGTATGCGGTAGGTTGGCTTATTATGGAGATTAATTCTAATTATTATGGAGATTCTTGATCGATTAATAAGTATTTTGTGAAGAAAACCACGAATCTATAATCGTGCTAATATGTTTAAATATATGTATTATATTTATAATCTTTCATTAATATTGATTATCATTATTATTATGTAAATGATTATGTCGTATCTTTTATCAGTATTTGCGAAACATGTTATAAAGATATTCAGTATAGTCTTGCACAGCGGCGGATTGGATGGTTATATCTGTTATACAGAATCGATTTCTTCGATGTTTAGTAAATATTATTTGATGTATTCTCTTTTAATATTATTATATTATTTCTGCATATAATCATATGAGGAAGTAGCTGATCCTTAAAGAGTGCTCAATAATAACAAAGAGGAAGGATTTGCTGTTAAGCCGAGTTTCGTTCTTATACGCACTCACCAGACAGTATTTCAGAAAATACTGTCTGATGAGCATGAGTAAGCACGAAACTCGGAGTAACTGTAAATCCTGCCTCTTTGTTATTATACATATTTCTGGATATATTTTAATCTGACTATTATGAAATGCTATAATGTCATTGCAGAGCGTCCGTCGATTAATCGGGAAATCCTRAAGTCATCAATACGAGTTCGCGAAGGTCAGACGGCYATGATGAGTTGCTATGGAACTGGTACCGTACCKTTGTTGGTAAACTGGAAGAAGGTCGGYTCTAAAGGATATACACCAGCGACTTCTAATAGATATTTAATCAATCAAGTTACTGTGAGTGACATGGGAGTTTACCAGTGTACCATTCAAAACCCTGCAGGAAAAACTACAGAGTTGGTCAGACTTTTTGTAGGTAATTAAGTTACCTCCCGTTCCTCGGTTCTAGAGARCTTGAATCCTTTTGAGCAGCGAAAAATCACTACATCTTTCTGGCGTAATTGGCAACGGAAACAAAAGTTTTGAAAGTTTAAAAGCGTTGAGCGATTGGAAGCCGATAACGAGAAATTAGAAAGTCGTGAAAAACAGTTGTTGCATAATTGTTTTGTTTGTTAGTTGTTTTTGTTTTCTAAAATATTTTTTTTATGTTCCTTTTTTTGATATTGTTGTTGTTGTTTTGTTACTGCGTTTATTTGTTTTATTGTTGCTGAAAGGTTTCTTGTTCTTTTCATTGCAGATCCCATCCCATGTGGAGCATTTATCTACCTTGGGCCTGGTCAACAATCAGTGATCGAGAGTCCAAACTACCCTCAGCCTTATATGCACGATAAAATGTGCTCGTGGAGAATCTGTCCCTCGCGAGGGCGACGAATCAAGCTGGATTTCAAGTCTTTTGATTTAAGTCGAAGCTTTGGCGATAACGTGCAAATCTACCATGGTGAGGCAGTACTCATCTCTGTGCAGTGTTTTGGCTGTCGATCCCGTTATTTTAAATGACATCAATAGATTCTGGATTTTTTTCCCCCTAGAATGTGATGCCGTCAGGTCTGGTGCGACCAAGTACTGTTCGACCACAAGTCCCGGTCGACTGGTGTCCAAGTGCACTTCACATTGTATCCAGATTTGGTTTCAGTCGGCACCTCRGCGAGGTTTTAAAAGTTCCAAAGGATTTTTTGCCACGGCCACTTCAACCGATGAAGGTAAATTATGAATAAGTCACGTCATCCTCGTATATCAAAAGGATGTCAGAGAGAATGGCGAATTCACTATCGAAAGTCAAAATGACGGGAGTGATGTAGAAAGCCCCGCCAAACTTGACAAGAAACAAAAACAAAAAAAATGAAACAAACTGTTGCCGGAAGCACCATTACAGGCGCGTAGCGTCGACGTTTTGGCTAGTACGCACATGTCAGTGACCGCAACACATATTTTGGATCTGGGGGTCTAACGACGGCCAAAGGCTGGAGTATTAAGGGAGTCTAGACCTCCCCCAGGAAATTTTGAAATAACAAGTCTTGGAAATTCGATTTCTGGCGTTTTGAGAGACATCGAAGGCATATAAAAGGAATCAATTTTATGTGGATTTTTCGGTAATTTTTGTGAAAATTTTAATATGTCCTTGGCACAAGGGCGTACGTGCGTATATGCGTAAAGGACGCTAAGCGCCTGCATTAATTATTGTTTTGCGMCCCACGATTTTACTGTTTGGGCAACTTCGTTGATGGTGTTCGATGCTGTTCAAGAAAGCATCAGTCATGTTGGATGGAGGTTAAAGGGAGGCGGGGGTCTGGGGCCATGCACCCTCGAAAAATTTTGAAATTGTGATCCTTAGATTATTTAGTAAATGGGCGGGGCCATTTCTAGCCTGTGTACATCCGTTTCTCACCCCTCCAAAAAAATCGGGGAGAGTTCGTTTGACCGGATCTTAATAATAATTTTGTCATTTGCCTTTTTATGTAATACTAAGTGAATTTAAAGTTATCAGCATAACTCGAATTGAACTATTTTCGGTTTTCAGGTACGATGACATATGACTACAACAAGCTGTATTGTGAGAKCGAAATTAGTAAGTATAATATATCGCACCTAAATACAAAAAAACGTTTTTTCCAAGAAATAGAACTTTTGCTATTTAGGAATTACTACCATTAATATASAAAATAAAGCTTTAAGGTTGGTTGGTCTTGTTTTTGACCTAAATTGATAAATCTCAGGATAAGTTTTTTTTTTTGGTGTATATACATATAGGTATTTTTTATATTATCACCATTTGCCAGGCAAAGAATGGGGCCTCCGGAATCCTGCACACCCCCCTGCACACCCCCCTGATTTGTGATTACTTTTACTCAATTACAAAAATGGACAGYTTTTCAAAAGCTTTCATTCAAAACATATATATTTTAGGCAAATATTAAATCTTGCGCTTTATCTTGAACTACCCAGTCTTTCTCAACCTTTTTGTCAAAGATTGCTATATTAACACTTATTACATTGTAAATTGTTCATTCAACATACTTTCAGTATTGAGATTCCTCCCCAAAGTGAAGTCTTTCAGGAGAATGACTGGTCGAGTCCTCCAAAACTAYAAGACCAAGGGGCCAAAACCTGGTCAAGATATAACGATTCAAATGACGTAAGTACATTGCAAATAAAACATCACGAGTGTTTCCTTCGCAGCTCTCGAAAAGTCTGGATGTGATACAGGCTAAATGTTCTTCTTTCTTCTCCTTGGTCCAGTAACCCTAAGTTTATATGTGATGATGAACAWAACCTCACATATTAAGCTTTCCTTGTGTTTGAATTAATAGCATTCAAAACTAATTATTTTAATGGATAATTTGTTCATTAAACATGCTTTCATGAGGTTTGAAATTCCTTGAATTTGTGACATATTTTTTTTACTTTTCATGGACCTATCTTTCGTATGTGAAAGCAGGTTATTGTATTCCCAACTTTGACTAAAGATTCCCTACACTTCTCTGCTGCACGTCTTCTCCCTCTCTAAAAATAACGGGCTTCCTGCTTCCTGTGTAATATTAACAAGACTAGGGACTAGTAACGAGGCGGGGAAAAAATGGGGTGACCTACGTAGCACGCAGTTGATGTAATTGTATTCATAAAATGGATTGTATTCCATTGTTTCTCGTTCTATTGTATTATGTGTTTTGTATTATATCTTTATGAATATATTACATCAACTGAGTGCTGCGTAGATTCTCCCGGGAAAAAAATGAAAAAAAACTTTCTTTTCCCTCCCAGTCCTTTTCCTTCTTCCTTTTTTCCACAGGGAACCCGAAATATAATAAAACGCGAGATGCGTGAGGAGGAGCCTAAAGTTTCCCTATCGATTATATAATTTCCAACATACCCCGTCTTACATTGCTTAGTGCCTTATCCCGTAAGGTTTCAAGATTGYCCTGTTTGTACTTCTTTGTGCCTTTCTGTATCGAATATAAGGAATACAAAAAATATATGCCTAATTAAAGTCATAAGCATGCATACGCGCACATACCTCGCATCTTTACATTATGCTGTATTTTATATTGTTATCATTATTACTATTATTCTGAGTTAAAAAATTCTAACCTACTCTCTTCAATCGATTCTCAGCTCTTTGTCTACTGATTTATTTGGATGCTTCGCTGATGTCAGACCTGGTAGTGAATACTACGTCGGTGTGGTGATTTCGTCACGTGGAACTTACACGTTGAAGTTTGCGCTCCTGAGTGATGCTCCTAATAAGCCAAGATTGTTTGACGTTCACCTAAACAAGTTTAAAACCGAGAAGCAAAAATGTTCTCCCACACGATCATGAAGTGCTACTGGGACCAGACAGCAAGTCACCTATTGAAAAATTCTACCCTGGCTGAATTATTAAAAAGCATTGAGTCCATAGCTTGCCCACATAATTTAATGCAGAATTATATTAAATTAATACGCTAAATTCAAGACCTATATAGCTTTGAAATTGATTATTCAGAAATCAAGCACTGACACCGGTTGAAGTATATTTTTTGGAGTTCTTTGCCTTTTATAAGTGAATGCTTTTTATGAATTAAAGAGTTCATTYTAATGGTTTTTAAGGATTGCACCATGTTCATTAATTGCTGTTGTGAAATATTGTTTTCACTTTGTATCAATAACAGAGAGAAACCACATTTTGTCGTTTTACATATGATTTTTTTTTTTCGTGGAGGGACGAGGTATATTTCTAGTTTCCTTTGATTTTCCTCACCTTTGTAATGCTCAACATCGAATTAAAAAATAGTTTCTCGTTACCCAGACAACCGTATTTTGGTCAGCCTTTGTCTTGCACTGCCTTCGATTCTTCAAACACACCTTTATGTATTTGTAGGTTCGAAGCTTCCAGAAATATCGGACCGGCCTCTACGCAGGGAAAACTATCCAATTTTTAGCTATTTGAGTGTCATTCGTTAGTTTTTAGTGTAAAAGGTAAAACTTGAAAATGTCATCAATTAAGAAGTATGCATATGCATTGGTAAACTTTATCTGTGACACAACTGCTGCAATAAACCAGACTGGTAATGACTTAGCCCTTGACAACTCGAGAAGACCAGTTGTTACATGAAGCTGTGAGTTCCTACTTTGGACCACWCATCATTGCGGTAACTAACAACAACGACTGCYATTGGTCGAAATACTATTATCAGTTCAACTATTAAAAGGCGACCAAAGATATTCACTTTTTAGCTACTCAGTTTACGTGTTATTATGTGTAATTGTGG